ACGCTCGCGCGCGCACTCCAGACGAGGCGGCGATGTGGAGGCGGCGGCGGAAGCAGCGATCGCCCATGCTTCAGCTGACGTAGCATAGTGATGCGATGGAGGGCCAGCAGCATGGAACGGCCCTCCCACCGCCCGATGCAGCGGAGGCGATTTTCAGCAGAGGCTCGGCATGGTTTGGCAGCGTAGCAGCGTCTTCTCCGGATGTCCTCCTACCCACAGCGGGTGCGCGCGCGGAAATTGGCCGAGGCAAGCTGGCGCGAGTGCTGGGGACGGAGCTCTCAGGGAGGGGGATCAGCGCGTCATGCATCGCGAGCACCCTTAGGCCCAGGGCAGCGTTGGCTCCCCTATGTGGGCTCAGGAGGCGCGAAGGCGAAAGGGGCACTGAGAAAGGGGCAGTGGGAGATTGCGGATACCCCGCCGCCTCAGATCCTCGTAGAAACTGGGCCAGGCCCGCATCCAGCGAACCCAAGTGCCAGCGTCACGCGGAAGCCTTGCATGTTCAGGGTCTCAGGGTCTCGCCATTCGGCTCACAGCGTCAGCAACAGCACAAGTCGTTTCTGGCCCGTCCTTACGTCTGTAGTCTTCCTGCCACCGCAAGCTCTCTCGATGAACGAGTCGCGCCCGCTGGCACATATTGGAAGAGAATGGTTATACCGGGGGGGCGCGTCGTCCCCCTTCTCCCCATCCCTCAGCCCCTTTCGGCGGGCTCGGGAAAAGCTCTGGGGTGCATGGCTGTATCGCCGACTCCCTGCATGAGATACCCTTGGCCCACCAGAGCCCAGCGAGGCTGGCTACGCTCCACCTACTCCATGGACCATGCCGATCATACTCCCTACCCCAAGCTCTAGGCCCGGAAGACGAGGGAATTGGCGCAGACGAGTTGCAGAGGGCGGCGGGCGACGGCGCTCGAAGTGAGCCCTCTTAGCCTTGGCCTAGGCAGAAGTCGAGCGAAACGGGCCGGCAGCCTCTGTGCCCGAGCCCGGACCGGACGTGTGGCCATGACGTCGACGATTGCCATGGTCGTTGGACGATCAGTGGTAGACGGGTCTTTCCGCCGCTCGGTCTACCTACCTGGACCGGATGAGAGGCTCTCCGGTGCATACCCCACTGGCGGCTGGTGCCGATGTCTGCGACGTGCTGTCCGCCAGTCAAATGTAATGCGAGTAGGAATAAACAACGTGGGCCCGGTGAGGCGACACTACAAATGAGTCAGCGTTGCGGCCATGGTAGTCGTGGCCGTAGCCGTGGCCAGAGGGCTCTGTCTAGTCAGTCCTCCATCCACGTGACCGGATGAAGGAACGAGAAGTAGTCGCAATCTAAGCCGTGTTCTGCAGCCCCGACTGGCTGTCTATATGCTTCCGTGTCTTCCCCAACGCCCTTCAGCGACTAAGAAATATGAGCGTCATGCGGCTTTACTATGCTGCCCATTCCACGGACCTACCTGCCTCGCTGTTTCACCTATCCTTCACGAATGCGGCTTTCCCTTGCTACTGCAGCAGTAGCTATCGCTCCTCCACCACTTCACCACGAAAATGCATCGCCGATGCTGGCACATGGAATTCTTTCCATTCGCCCATCCACATCGCCGATGTCTACACCGAATTCTTCCAAATCGCGCATCTGCATCGCCGATGTTACGCACCGAATTCTACGAAGAGCACAATTGAGGTCCAAGAATGCTCGGACCAGGGCGTGCCCCAACCCACTACCTTGCAAGGCAGCGGCCAGCCAATGAAAGCAGTCGGGCGTCTCAGCCTATTTACAAGCTCCAATGCAACTCAAGGCCAAAGTAGACTGATATTTACGGGTTTAGATGAGCCTGACCAGTTGCATGTACTGGCTCCCAAGGGCCTCACGGGTCTCATGGGCGATAGGGTTTCAGTGCAGATGGGGATCGAGCTTGTTAACCTCGGAGCTGATGCATTTATCCAGATTCTCCATACTCAGCCGGCCCCCTCTCTCTGCCCAATCCTGCGCAAAAGCTGATGACTCTCTGATTCCGACATCATCGGTCTTTTCCGTTTGCTCTCAACTTCTAGCGCACGACCTGCCGACGGTCAGTGCGGGCCCGTCTGTCGATGGAATGTTTCGATCCTCTAAGCTCTCTCGATCTCGCCTAACACCCGTAGTTCGATAGCCGCATCGCCGATGCAATGCAACGACCGTTCCTGCCGTCCAAGCCTTTGGGACCAAAGGATTTTGCGTAGGGCGACTCGTCGTGATTCCAGCACGCGTCTTCGTCGCCTGCCACGGCACCCAAACTGAGGCACATCTGGCTCGCGAAAGTTTTGGGGGTAAGGTAGAGAGGGCTGGATAGCTTCGTGAGCATTGCCGTCCAAGTCGAGGATGTGGGTCCAACTAGTCATAGTTGAGGCTCTCCCCTCGCGCACCTGCATTCCTATGCTGGCACCTCAAGGCCTGCCATGTCGACCCCAGTCATAGCTTGGTAGGTCATGTCGATTTAGGTCGCTGTAATGGCCAAGTGCAAAACACGCCGTCCAGGCCAGCGTTGCCTAGAGATAGCTGCAGCTACCGAACACCACAAGAACTACAGGGCTCATTGGTGTGCAAAGATTAGAAGGCAAAGTCAACGTCATCTTCGGCCGTGTGCTGCGACGTTTTGGGGCGGGGGAAAAGATTTCCCCGTCTGTTACTGACTTTTAGTCTAGCCAGCCGAGCTACAGAAGAAGCGTCGGCGACGATTGAAGGGATTGAATCAAGTGCCGGACACGGAATGAATGCAGAGAAAGAAGCGACAGCAGAAGCAATAGTTGCTGTGCTTCGGCACGTCATTGATCAGGGGCCTGACACGCTGTGCCGTCGACTTCTAGGTAGATTTGGACCACACTAGAGGCTAGCCTAGAGTCGACTTCGTGGCTATGCTTGGGATGATGCAGGCGCCGAGAGGGCCGATCACTTTGAATATTCCGCCGATAAGGTTTGGAGTTTCAGAGAAGCTCGGATCCTGTTCAATTACCGGTCCGCGTTTCGGTAGGTCCTCCCAAGGCCTGCTAGATAAATCGGGTGAGAGTTGGATAAGAGCAGTTTCGGATGAGAGCGAAAGGCCGGTCGGGCCTGTCGTTCCCGCCTAATTCTGGAGGACGGACAGAGCTGGCCACGCGGACAAGGTCGGGACGACGAGACACAGCTCGAGGAAGCTTTGCATTTGCCTAGATCCTGGATTCCCTTCTTGCGCCGCATTTAATTGGCGTAGCGTGACTGCAATCGAAGGTGGTGTCGATCGCATAGGTGTGGAACTTGGGTCCACTGCAAGTTCCGGGAAGTTTGACAAATGGCCGACGTGCGTTGTCTGCATAGTCTCCTTGGCACCGTAAGTGGGATAGACTGTGATCAAATTATTGAGCCCAGCGGCCAGTGTGAGTGGCTCGATGGCGCTAGCCGCTGCGGGAAAATGGCTACGAGCGCTCTGATCACTCGACTGCCATCATCGCGATGCGACTGATGGACCCCAATCTCTCCGGTGGGCCAGAGGCAAAGCGGCCGAGCAGCAGAGCTGAGGGATGGGTGGAGGGTGATTGTGATTATGGACAAGTTGAACTTACCATGGCCGTGGTGTCAGCGCCCATGGACGACTACGAATTGATGTGTGAGCTGGAGAATAGGGGTCAACGGGCAAGCTGCGAGCCAAATTGCATTCATGGCCAAGTACCCGCTGAGAGAGGCAGGAAAATGGGTCAAAAATGGACTCAGCAACACGGCCGTGGATCGTAATGGCAGACAAAGGTAATGTCTAGGGACTCCCCTTTCTCCCCGGTCAATGCTCGCTCCTCTACGCCCGCCAGCAGGCCCCCGACAACAACGACAGGCTGAGAGGGCCGGGAGAGACGCCGTGCGTTGACTTAGCGCGTCGTGCCACGCATCTTCTCGACGAAGTCTACGGCGCGCGCGTCCCAGGGGAGGGGCAATGCCAGCCCTCCGGGCCCCTCGTGTCCGATCAAGGTCACAGCGGAAAGAAGTCAGCGGGATACCTGAGCCAGTGCCACCCGAGACCGGCCGCGTCTCTGGCTTCACATCAGATTGGCGAAGGTGTGAAGCAGCAGGAGCCGACGACGCCGACGAGTACGGGCGGCCCTCACTTCTGTCATCTACTAGGCCCGTGGGCGTCGACAGCCTTGCGCGGGTCGTTGGGCCTCAGCCTCGCCGGCTGGAGGTCGGTCAGGCAACCTCCCGGCGCCGGCCGTGGTGGCTTAAGAGATAGCAAGAGGCCGTCCATATGGCGACGAACCGCGTCGTCAGCCTGAGGGGGCTCGACGAGCTCAGGCTGCCACGATGGCAGAATGGGAGGAGAAAGCCAAGCATGGACGGTAGGCAAAAGCAAGCATCGATGCTGCATTTGCTCTGAACTCAAAGTGATGGTGCTCGCCGGTGTGCTTGGAGCAGCTGGCGGCGTGGCGGTAGTAGACGGCGTGGGAGTCACCGAAGGCAGCACACAGCGCCTGTAGATGCGTCCGTCTGCCCCTCCAGAACGACGGGGCCCCTTGCCTCATACCCGACACCCCTCCCCGGCACCCCTCCCCTCCTGCTTTCCCTCGGCCCCCCTGTCCGATAGAATTCGATGGTTCGGAGAGAATACCATCAACGGTCCTGCCCCCCACCCCACCCCCCCGGCCCTCTCCTGCTCATTTATTCCCGATCTTCCCCCCGTTTCTTGTCCGCATATCACTTGTTCATCTCCACCATCGTCCTCATCTTCTGCTATCCCATCATCACGAACTTCTTACGTCCGCCGTTTCCGTTTCGATTTCCGCCCGCTACAAATCAAGTCTACGCCAAACACGTTCCATCCTCCTCAACCTGCCCTCAGAATCTTGCCACCCTCCGCCATCTATCTTCCCGCCAGCCGCGCCGAAACGCCAATCAAACCCGTCGAGCTTCTTGCCGCCCAAAGATCCGCATCTTCTAGAGCCTATAATCTTCCTCGTTCCCATCTCAATCTCACATCACAGCCTGGACTGTACCCGTCCCAGCCCGATTCCAACATGCACGTTCGTGACGCTTCCGGCCGCTGCGTCTCCCTCCTCAACGATGAGCCTGGGCCTTTGAATGCTCCGTTATCCACTTCTTCCTACACCTACCACCTCCCCATGGATATTGTGCGCTCCTCATCCATCCGCAGCAATACCTCATCGCCTCCCACTCCCGGCTTGACTCGTGCACATTCAGTCGAGTCAGTCTCGTTCACGCCCCACTCACCCGCCACTCCTTCATCTCATGACCATATCAACTACCACTATTCGGGCTCTCGTTTGGGCTTACCCGACCAAGCTTTCCTAGACTACCGGGAAAAGTCTACTCGCTACGAGTCATTTCCCCCCCACCCAAACTACTCGGACATATCATCTCGTTCAGCCTATGATCCAGCCCGTCCTTCCTACGCTGAGCCTCAGGTATTCGAAGAAGATCAATACCGCTGTGACCCTCTAGCGCCTGAGCGTGGTCCCAAACGTTACCCCTGCCGCTACCGCGACTCTCACCACTGCCTAAAGACTTTTACAACCTCAGGCCACGCTTCCCGGCATTCCAAGATTCACACTGCTGAAAAAGGCGTAAGTTGCACGTGGGAAGGCTGCAATAAAAAGTTTACCCGATCCGACAACATGAAACAGCATCTCGAGACCCACTCCAAAGAGCGTTCGCGCCCGCCCAAGCTTAGCACATCAGCTTTCACATCAAAACTTACCGTTCCAGCCGGCGTGAGAAAGTCGACAATTACCCTCTCCACTAGCCGTGCATCAGCTACAGAAATTCGCAACCCAACTACAACCCTATCGAATCTTCCTGGCTCACGAAATTCGTCGGCATCTTCAGACCTTGCACCCCTTCTAGATCCGGCCATGTTCAAAAGCTTTCACACACTAGCCCAGTCCAACCTACAACATCGCCATCCAGCATTGCCTACTAATGGGCTAGAGACGCTGGCTTTATTAGCAGGTGCTCGTCCCTGAGTGACCTACCAATTCCACTATAAATACCCTCAATGGCTTACCGCCAAAACAAATAAAGCTGCCCGGTCGCAGCTGACCCGTTTCAGGCTCGCGGCCCCCCCGTCATGATGGATGGAAATGATATCATACGAATATGTAACGAGTAGGATGAACTTGTACCGGTTTGGGGTTTATGAATCTATAATATTGCTTGTCGCTATCACGACAGAAAGCGGCGTTGGGGAATTGCTAGTCGTGTAGGATAGTTTACTAACAGCGTAATCCACGTTTGACATTTCTCGTGAGGAACAAGCATGGGGTTTGGGGAACGTTCACATTCATGGAAATTGTTTAGCGAGCTCAATCAACTGAGCAGGATGGCGTGAATAAGGTGCAGTGTGCCCTAGTGCCGGGATAACGGGAATACCATCAATCGATATATTTAATGAAATGAATCAATAGAATAATCCATTTGCTTACAATGATGACATGATCTAGATCTCTCCGTACAAATAGTGGTTGGGTTTCCGGGAAAGAAGAGATCATTACTATTGCCTGATTTGAATGAGAAATTGTGTAGCTTATACACGTTCTCCCTACCTGCGGGCCAAGGATATCTATGCTAGTAATAAATTCTCTCCTATGCCCTCTTCAAAGCTCCCCTCAAACAGTACTCCAGGATGGTAAAGACGAGCTTCGATCCAACTTTCACACGAAGCTCCCCTTGATTTAAAAGCTTGACTTGCACACTCGCACTCTCCCTACTCAATCAGAACTTTCGAATGACCTAATGACTCAACGATCGTTCACGTATTACCTTAAAAACGATGACTGGTTATTTTGATGAATAACGGATTACCTATTAAGGAATAGCGCAAAGAGAGAGGGATAACTACTGTATTGATCGAGGTTTTAGTCTCTACTGAGTCCTAGACTATAAATTACGAAGTCCAGATTTATCGAATCATTTCCTTAATTTACAGGTCAAATTTCAATATGAATTTTACAATTTTATGCTAGTTGACCCTGAGGGTCGAGCCTAGAATTTAACCACTGTGTGTGTGTTTGTTTTTATTGTACTACTTGAGTCTATGACTATCTAGCACATTGGGCTCCTCTCTGACCCAGGCCACACCTTGTACAGTGCTCCTATCCTCTTTTGTTACTTGAAAGATCATTGATATGTTGCCCTTGATGAATAGCCATTCAGCTCAGTATTTACCCTTTTGACTACTGTATGTACGTGTTTCTTGGAGAAAATTGGATGAGAATCGAGATGTATGTTGACCACTAATCATTACTACTGCTGTAGAAAGCTTGAGATATAAATACCACCTGATTTATTCCGACAAAAACTCGGTCGGGAGGTTCAGTTAAATCAATCGCTCAACTCACGTGATGGCTAGTTCTTGAGTCGAGGCGTGATCACGGCACTGAGCCGACACGATGAAGCGGAGCATTAGACGCGACAGGGCTGGAGGGGTGCAGGCTATTTTCCCTGGCGACGGGACGCTGAGGAGCAGCAGGCCGTCGCGCAAGACCCAACCTGCCAGCCTCTAGACAAGTTCGTCTGAAGCGTGAACGGTGCTCAGGGCGACGGCGAGCGATATCGGCAGGCCACGCAATGGCGATCAGACCGAAGCCATGTGCGCGCCAAAGGGATCTAGACATGGAGACGCTTCTACAGCTAGGTTTCAGCGACGTCGAAACACAACCTCGCCATTGCCGCCGAGGTTTGATTAGAGCGCTCCGGACGCCTGCGACGGGTGACCTGGGTTTCAGGGTCCTTGCCGACGGCTAGGCAGGTGTTGCGGCGGGGCAATAGGACGTGATTTCCCTCGTCTCGCGCCATGCCTCTGGTCGCTGATAGTCTCCGTCCGACTACGTGCCCTGTCGAGGCGAGCTCTGGACGGGAGGTCGGCGGCTCTAGGCGCGAATTCTGAGTTTAAAAGGCTACCATTTGTCGGCGGCGTCGCCGGGCCCATGGTTAGACATGCTATCGCGTGAGCTCTAGAGTCGAATCTAGGGAAGTGCGCGCACGAGAAAGAACCATACCTGGCACCGTAGCCTGATCCAGGTTCTCGCCGTCAAAAGGCCAACTTGATAGTGAGCTGGGTTTGTGAGGGGGGGGCTTGAGGCCGACTTTGATGCCAGAATTCCACTTCGGTAGTCTCGTGCGTAGCACACAGTTCATGAGGACCGCGGTTGCTCGGTTCGACTAGTCCGTCTGAGTCACGAGATGAGAGACCCGCGCGGTCGCAACCGAGTCAAAGTTGCATTTTCCTGGAGCTGGGTCAACGTGCGGCTGTGCTGTTGGCGGGCAAGAGGATCTAGCAGCCGATAGTTCCTTGCGTATCCTCTCTCTTCGTCCCTGGCGGCGATGAAGAGCGCACGATCAGCTACGTCTCGCCAGCGGCAGGGATCGTTCTTTGTGTTCCACGCGGCCCGGGAGGTGTGTATCTGACAGCGAGTCGCGCCGAGACCTTGTGTTTTGGCCGCTGGCCGGCGAGGACGAATGCTGACATAAGAGTCCGCGACACGCGGTACTCTAGACGAGGTAGCCTTCAAGCTGGCCTCTTAACATGGCAATTATAGGCCTCAACACCAAAGCAAATTATCCGCCTACCTTCGTATCAGTATCACGCACCAACGTGACACTATAACTCCAATCCAGACTGACCACTCACCCATCACCGTGCAACTTTAGTTCTGCTAGGCTTCGTCGAGAAAATGCAGCGGGCCATACCCATCACGCCTCGCTTCTGCGCCTAGGGCTCCGGACTTTCCTAGTGATCTTCCAGCTGCTCAGGCATTGCGAAAGACGGTAGCTGGACCCTCCCAGAGTCGCTACATGGCATCCAAAGACATGACCCTCGAATTGGCTCTACTTGTTAAGCTCCGCCCTTCGCTCAGGGACCTTGACGCCTCATCCCTGTACGAGCCGCCAAACCATGCCCGTCGAGGAAAACACAGCTTCCAACCCGAGTTCCATAGTCTCACAACTGATGGCGCTCAGGGCGGCACGAGCCGGTGGCAAGCTATACATTTCCATCTCTCAGCCAGAAGATTCCGAGAGGCTTCATCTGCCGTGGCGGGCTTAAGCAAGGCAAGAGGATGATGTGGAGGACCTAGGGGTGTCTTAGCTTCCGAACTTTCTGGGTGACTGGTACATGCGCCCGCGGAGACGGCTCAAGTTCCTGCAATAAGTTTGTGGAGTAGTGCGAGCAAATGTAACCGTCTCCGTGATTTGTTATCAATGTGTCCAATATCTCCTTTGTCAGTGGAGGGATAGATGTCCGGTTTTTATTTCCATTTGTTGTCTAGTCCGAATGGACATGACATCGACCCCTTCCCAACAACTGCCAGCCCACATTACTAGCGCCCCTCTCGTAGGTGGGAGCTCACCAAATCCTGACGGTAGCGGTAAATTAAGCCAAGCACATAACCAATTTGCCTTGTACCCTCACTACTTCCCCTTTCCTATGATGAAAATCAACCTGGTTATGGGTCACGATGCCTGGAGGAAAGGGCAAAATAATCGATATGCTTTGGTCCTGGTGCTACGATTTCTAGGGCGGAGCAGCAGCAGCATCGATGGATACAACAATGTCACTGTTTTCAGCAACACAACACTAATGCGACGGACCCCATAGCAAAGATGCTTAGATTTCAATATTTCATTTACAGATATGATGTCTTCCAAGAAATAGCAGCACGCATACCAATGACAGGGAGAGCGTTGGTAATACTATAAGGATACGAGGCTAGCTGATAGACTGATCGACAAACCCTTTCTCCTGCAGGGCAAATGGAAGGCGGCTAGGATTAAAAATAATCGGAAGCTCGGGCCCAGAACCCCTTGGGTCAGCTTCTAGGCGCAGGGTCAACGGAGGCGATTGGTGAGAGCGAGGCTGGGTAGCCGCTCCACCCAATATTCCGTCTCCACCTCGTCACAAGTACCTGTCCTCCGATGCGGGCTTCATGCCCGAGTAAGCATGACGAAGAGAGAGCATCACTACATGCTACGCAAGCTAGTGAGCAAACCACAAATCCCCTAGGTTAAAGGATTCATCCACTCTGTACACGTTACAATCATCATTTGTCACAGCTGGTTAAACGAATACAATTAAAATGATAAAAAATCATCCTCAAACCTCACAGTTCAAAAGCTTACTTCCATTACAATATCTTTGGACATATTTTCACCCTCTTCGCGACCGGATCGAGCCAATCCTTCATGTAAACTCAGCAAGATCAATTGAACTAGACTCTGTATCGAGCCTCGACAACTTCGAAACAAAATATGCCAGAGATCTTGGAGATAGCAGGTCGATCCAGCTCGTAAAATATGCAAGATGGCTCTAGCTAAACGGGGCACCGACAGTGCCTGCCATCCGCAGCCTGAGCCGCCGCGGTCTCGGAACATCGGGGTTAAATTAGAAAAATCATTCGTCAAAGGTTGGCGGCCACTGCTGTCAACCTTAAAACCGCACGCACCGCCACCCCTAAAACTAGTGCAAGACTTCCGACCTCGCCGACCCTCTGCCGCCTTCCGTTACCATTCGATCAGTCTAAATTTTACAGCTAGGTTGATCGAAGGCTTCATAGGTCGAGCTCCGTCACATTGTACCCGTGCGCTTGCGTACTATCAGTAAATGTCTACACGGGTGCACTGATCATACCCGAGCAGGTAGGGAGAAAGTTGCGCTTAGCTGAATGACTTGGAGGGATTTATGGAGCTACGCATCGAGTAGGCATCGACGACGCAGGGCCGCCGATGCGGGTCATCTTTTACGAAAAATGGCTCCCGATCTGACGGGGGCGAAAAATAACCTTATCGAGCCTACCTCCCTGCCTTACCTACGAAGCGATTCCTCCGCGCGGCTGAGAGTATATGCTGCACGGCACGGTCAGCATGCATTCAAGGCACGATTTTGCCATCTGCTTCAATTCGATGGGTTGTTCTTCATCAACACGGTCTATCACGCCTGATCTCCTGATAGTCTCTGGCCGATGTTACC